TGCGGCTGTGCTCCCTTTTTAGCCATGTCAGTAAATATCTGAAAGAATTTGTACACTCTTGGTGATGTTCTGTTGCCGCACAGTTCTCATTACAGTTGTAATGGCTGAATATCACCCGGATGGCCTCCGCTCATTAGATTGTGACTTTCCCACAGATTGCGCTGTCATCTTCTGGAGAGTGCTAAACCCACAGTGAGTCCTCTCAGGGACAGCCCTGTGGAGGCAGGGACCAACGGGCAGCAGGAATTAAACACAGCGGTGAGTTCTGGTGGAAGAGAAGCCTTGTTCCTCTACACTACTTCCAGTATTATCTTTAAGTTACAGTTTATTTGTTCATTGAGATACATTTGACCCCCATTATAGACTTTGTAGACTCATTGTTTAACAACCCATTGTAGTTCAATACTACCACATCAGTTGAACAATTATTAACAATCTCTTGAAAGATCAGACTCAGAAAGGTGAATGGCACCAATAAAGACGTAATGATCACTTACATTTCATATGAGTACGTTTAACATTTAGATTGATTGTATAATGTTAGGTACAACTACCTGGTTTATAACTATTATTAATATTCTTCACATTTTGGGAGATATGCTTGTTTGCTAACTTGCAGAGCATTGGATGAGAACATTTACACCACTCTCACATCCGTGTGTTAACTATGGAGCTGGAACAGGGAGGCAGTTAGCCTAGCTTAGCATAAATACTGGAAACAAGGGGAAGCAATTAGCCCGTTGGCTCTGTCCAATGTTAAAAGACACACTTTCCAGCATCAAGTAAAAAAAAAACTACAGTTGTAGCTTTCATGGGAGTTGCGTGCTATAACTGTTTATTGACAAACAACAGTTTCAGGACCCGACCAACAGTTTTGTGTTGCCTCTCTGCTGATTGTCTCACAAGCTCAAGGTAACAACAAGACTCTGCACTCTGAAGTCACTGCAGTTGACTGTTGTTCTCCAGGGGACTAGTTATAGCACGTAACCCTTCAAAACTCAAATTTTTGCTTTTCTGTTTATGTACATATTAAATAAATAAAATGTAACATGTCAATAGGCTTTTAGTTGTGCTCATAGGAGGAGAAAGATAGGCCAGTTGTTTCCTCTTCCTCTTCCTCTTCCTCTTCTAACTCGTGGTAAGAAACCTAACCAGCGTATTTCCCAAAATGTCAAAGCGTTTCTTTTAAACGACTGTGCATCTCTAACATCCCGATATATATATATATATATATATATATATATATATATATATATATATATATATATATATATATTTTCTTTTCTTTTCTTTTTTTTTTTTTTTTTTTTTCATGAATTTCATTACAAGGCTGCTTAGATTGACAAACTAGGTCAATGAACCAGTTTTCTCTTATCTCACCAGCTCATGCGACTGATGGCCTGCAACTCACGGATGGAGCAGAAGCTGAATACGTGTCTGTGGGTGCAGAAGGTTCTCACTGGGTTGGTGCTGGTCCTTGTGGTGCTGAACCTGCTGTGTCTCTTCATGCTGGGTACTTCCCAGCAGCCGTCCTGACTTGCCACCGCTCCCTCCGGCTAAGGGAGCTGTGGCTAATCTATCGACCACAGATACACAGACAGTTCCAGCGAGGGCGGGGGGGGGGCACGGTCATCCTGGACTCTCCCCTCCTCCTCCTCCTCCTCCTCCTCCTCGCCTCCCCTGTACTCCTCACAGGTTGCTGTCATGCATTTGAGGGGGGCCGACTTTAGGGACATGTGAGTTGTTATAAGAAGTGATTGTACTTGGTGCTTTTCAGGCACTTGAGAGTAAATACAACAGAGACATTTTTAACAACGTGACATCAGATCAATAATAATGTATTTTTTATGACGGATCATTGAAAAATAAATGTGTATTTATTGCAGAAGTCACAGTTATTTTTGTGATCATAATAATCTACAATTTTTTATATTGTAGAAATCTACAGAATGTAAAAAATAAACACTTTTGTCAATTTACATCATTTTGTTGAACATGCTTTTTCTCCCAGCATAGTCGGACATAGATTAAAACAAAAAAGGAAATTTGTGTAGCTAAGAAGAGCATCTGCACACCCGCCTTTATCCTGAGATGTAGATGTTTGGGTCACTCGGTAGTCTTGTTTTGCATAAGTATTCACACTCTTTAATAAACCCTCATTAGTACGGAGGTGTCTAATTGAAAACATGGCAGTGTATGACCTTACTAAACCGCTCCGCACTCAGACCAAGGAGCCACAGGAGATATCTGTCTCCGCTATCTCCTATTTGTTTTAATTACCCCAACACCGGGCAAACTAAAAATACCAAAGCAATTACTGGCGAGTACAAGGACATGGCACAAGCCACTTGTAGCTTAGTAGGAGCACTGATATCTATAACAAGATCCAGCTCAGAGCAATCAGGACGTGAGCCGCCGCACAAGGAATGATCGCAATTGGGTTATTAGATGTGTGCACATGAGGGGTTGTCTGGCAGCAACATTTGCAGCTTGTTCGCAGTAGGTGGTGGCTGCTCGCATGCGAGGGATGATTAGAATGACTCATGCAATAACGAGTAAACTAATCCTACGTTGATTATAAACACGGGGCCGTTTCAGGCCCCGCAAAATGTTTATTCCCCTGAAGATTGCATTGTGTGGCTTGTTCTGTAACTCATTCTGTTTCAGTGGTTACCCTTCATACGGTTCCCTCTTTTTATAAAACATCTCCATTAATAGCTGTTGGTGGAAGCAATTGGGTAGTTTTAAGTGAGCGTGTGCGCTGGATGCATTCACTTAAACCCTCGGTAAGAAATGCATTTTGCGCTATTTGTGTAGAAAGTGCCTATCCACTAAAAAAAAAAAAAAAGGACGAGGGTTAATGGAGTGATCGCCTCTAGAGAATAAAAGTAAAAGCTTTGGTATCACACATAGGTGGGTTGATTTTAAGTGCATCTAAGTGCCACGCAGGGCCTGACTGAACCCAGGAAGTCGTTCTTGTACACTGCACTGAGCAAAACACAACACCGTCATCAGTGATGGCACACTGGCTATAGTGGGGAAATTACTTGGGCGGTCATTTGACACTGATTGCCAGACCAGACCAGGCTCATCTCACCTGATTGTCTATATTTCACTCATTACAGGCAGTGGACACTGTATGTGAGAAGTCAGAAGCTCAACCACAGTATTGATTTAACATTAAACACCAGTTAAATTGAAACACAGTTCAACGTGTGGCTGACCTCCAGGCACTCATGCGATGTTTGAGGGGGCGATGATTTAGTTCAAGTGGCAAATTGGGACGGGGTGGGGATTGACGGTGGGAGTTAATGAGTGCTGCATTTAATAACAAGTGTGTGGGTGTGTTGAGCAACTTTTAACCACGGAGAGGATGTTGATGTTGAACTACAGTATCACACGTTGAAACCACTGGTTGTAACCATTATTCAGCTTCCATAAGTGTGTAGTTACACAAAAATCATACATACATATAAGGTTTATTCTCCATTTTCACTCTTTTCCTTATAAGCAAAGACAAACACACGGGTCAGAAGTCAGTGAGCCCTTGAAGAGTTTTGGGTTAAGGATGGTGACAAGCTGCTAGGAGCTCTGGAAGCAAGATGCCTCTCTCACACTCAATATTTATGCAACTTGTGCGGACAAAACTATTGAGAAAATCAAGAAGAAAAGATGGATGTATTTTCCATTGCACGTTCCTGCTTAAGGCAGTGGATAAACAAGTGATTAGCATGAAATCAGCCAGCACATGGTAAATACTACATTAAGGCCTTGGAGAGCTAGTGACGTAAATAAAACATTGTATTCTTCGGTTTCTATCATCTGAATTAATGTGTATAGATCACCGCCTTATCTTTGTTGCAGTGCCCTCTCTCCTCCTCAGGTTATTATAAGTAATAGGGCACCACAAGAAAATTAGACGCTTATAAATGCCTAATTCTTCAATTAAACATCGGCATAGCTCCATTTCTCAGACAGCCACAGGGCCCGGGGGAGAGCATTCATTATGTTGATGTAGGGCTGTATCCTCGTGGCTTTACTTGACTGAACTGAGCCTTAAGGAAAAATATGTAGTGTAACCGGGTTATAACGTATTCATTCATTCTATGTATACTTCAGTGTCAGTTTTTGTGGCGTGTTTTGGCATTCGGTGTTCACATAATGTTTGTTTTTGGGTTTATTTTGCTCGAGCCATGTGCGTGTCTTGTTTTTCACATATACTCTTTAGGCTCTGGGAAAACAGAGCCTATATCTGCCTTTAAACAGTGCATGTCTTAAATAGACACACACTGTATAATACTGATAATAATAATATTATATCAGTATTTATTAAAGCTTTGTTTGTGCTTTACAATCAAAATCAGCACATTTGTAACCAAAGACACTAAAACTAAAATAGTACAAGAATTCTTTTAAAAAATAAAAGAGTAATTGAAAAGAAAGTAAGTTATGCGAACTGGATGCTGACTCATAATTACTGGTTATCTATGACCATGCTTGAAATTATTGGAAAACACAACAGCCACCCAGCTACATATGACAGATAAAACACAAAGGCCCACTGATGTTTTTCCCATCCAGTCTGAAATCTCTGATATCTTTAATGTGAATTAATATTCATTTTTATTCTTTAGTCATGATAATTACAGTATAAAAAATACATTTGTGTCATCGATCATGTCATGATAACTTCTCCACTGATGTGTTCAGCTTCGACAATGTAGACACTTTGGTAATAACTGAACTGGACATGACTTGTCTGTGTTGTCAATTTATCTACAAATGTATTTTTTGAATTTTAGCTCTTGTAAATTTTTTTACTACATGCCCTGCAAGGATTAAAGACACTAAACTATTTCCAGAAATTCTGTACAGAACATAAAGAAGATTTCATATGAGATTAAGTTTTATGTGTTGTAGGTCTAAAGGAAAGAATCCCAATACAGCAGCATTAAAAACAGCTGGAAACAAAAGCAACAAAAACTACAATATTAGCTGAATGTAATTTCAGTATATAAAACTTTATTAAACATTGGAATTTCCCCATTGTGGGACAAATAAAGGAATATCTTATCTTATCTTATTAATTTTGCAACATTTATTAGACCGTATGAGCCCATATTCTCATTTTAAATATGTATATGTTATGAATATTTAATGATAAAAACTTGCTCCAAGACTTTAAAGTTTCCACATAAAAGTCCAGATTGATCTTGTTCAGTTTGTTTACAGAGGTCTGCCACAAAGAAAGAATTACAGTTAATTACTACCACAACTACGAGCAATTATATAGCAAGTACTCCCCCTGCTGGCCTAGAAGGGAATTTCTCAAGCTCTGGCAATGGATAGTTGAGTTACTCAGTGCATTCGATCTCCCCCTGGGTCTGATTGGTACAGAAGATACTGTTTCACTTCTCTGGGAAGGTGAAGGTCGTGAATCCCACCCAGCCTCTGCTTGCCCACAGTTTTTCTGATGTGCAGCCGACACAGCTGCGTTAGAGGAGACACTCCTGGGCAGGCATCAGGGGAGAAGCAAGGAGCCATGATAGAGAGATGTTTAGATTATTACCTTATGGCACCACAAATCCCCACAGTGAGGCTACTCGGTTAGTTTGGGTTGAATACCTCCTGCTTGTCTCAACAGCCTCTCCACCAGGCTGTTGCGAGGTGCCAGTTCCAGTGGCTGTTTGCCCTCTGAGTTCCTTAGGGAGTGGTCGGCCCCGTGGTCAAGCAGGACAGACACCAACTCAGGGCTGGACAGACGAGCAGTGATGTGCAGTGGGGAGTCACCAGACACACAGTTGTTCACACTAGCACCTTAAGGAGATCATGAGACTAATGAGGTATGATGTCCTCATATTACATAACTGGTGAGGAGATCCTCTGACAGTTCAGACAAAAGCGTGTCCACTTCTACAGCAGAGCACAGAGCACCATTTATCCTCTTTAAAGCTTACATAAAATACTTTGGGTCATTTCTAAGATAGACTGCATTTACTCAAGTCATAAATGATTTATTTGACTTATGTAAAACACATTTAATTTTACACGGGAAGAAAGGGCTGTATTTACATATCGTTTTGAGATATTTGTGCTTTATTTTAGTGCTTTGTTTCAGCATTTTTCCTTAATGCTACTTTGTACTCCATTACATTTATCTGGCAAATTAAGGTTTTACATGCAAAAACATATTACCAGCTAGTTACACATAGTGCCACTGCAGTGGTGGAGAAAGTATTCAGATCCTTTACTTGAGTAAAAGATACTAAGAACGGAAAATACTCCCTTACAAGTGAAAGTCCTGCATTTAAAATGCCACCACTAAAAGTATTAATAAGTAAAACTATAAGAATGTACTTAAAGTCTAACAAGTAACATACTCACAATGCAGAAGAATGGTCCCTGTAAGTGTTAGTATAGATTACTGTATAATATTGGATCATTATTATTATTACTGATACATTCATGTGTAAGCAGCCATTTAACTGTTGTGGGTGGACAAGGTGGAGCTAATTTGAACTATTCAATATACTGACGTGCAGTTTAATATATAACAATGTAACATATTTTATAAAGTGGTCATATATTTTGTTTGTAAAATCATGATCTGTGAAGTAACAACAACTATAGCTGTCAAATAAACATAGTGGGGTGGAAAGTACTGCATTCTTTGAATTAAAGTGAAGTAGAGTAACATGAACTGGAAATGCTCAAGTACAAGTACCTCGCATTTGTACAGTAGAGCACTTTAGTAAACACATTTCACTACTGTACTTTTGTATTAATAAAGACACCAAACAAGTAATTGAAAACCTAACTTTAAATTGAAATCTATTTTATTATTTTATATTTGTATCATTATTATTACTATTTATTATTATTACTGTTAAGTAAATGGCCTTTGAGTACCATTTCTACCACTGGAAACAAGTTGTATTGGTTCTGAGTAGCAATGTTGTTTGTCCCTTGTTTTTTGTTGATGTTGGCTTTACTCCCTCATTTACTCCACTGCTGTATATGTCAAAATAAACTGATTGTTTTCCTGTAAATACTTCGTTGCCTGCCTTCTGACCCTATTAAAACCCAATATGTACAAACGTATTGAAGTGAAACTGAGCTTTGACGAAGGTGTCAAAATACAATAACATAAATGTATTGCACTAAATAACGAAATATGTTAGTTATATGTTATATGGGATATTGTATTTGTTTTCCAAAAAGTCACAGACAACCTCTTATGAACAAACAGGTATGAAACTATTATTATAGTTGATCATCTCCTCCGTAACCTAAAAGACTAACAGATTTATTGGAGAGTTTTAAAGTTAAACTTCTTCTTACCAAGTTGAAGAAGTTTCTTCACAGTAGTCAGATGCTGATTGGAGCAGGCAACGTGGAGAGGGAAACCTGATTGGTCGATATACTGATCCACATCTGCGCCGTACTGAACGAGAGACTCAATGCACTCTGGGTGACCTAAACAGAGTTACCACAATCATCACAATGAGAAGGGATGTACTTGAAAGGATGTTCTTTGAAATCTGCTTGCACTTTGAATCCCCTGGGGGAAAAACATGCAGTAATTTTACTTTGTAGGCTACAACAACGCACACTAATTTTTAATACACTATACATTTTCTCATATGGGCTTTTCTGATGTTTCGGCACTCTTTGTGCATTTTATAGTGACTGACTATACCAATTCAGCATAGATTATCTGTGTGTACGCAGTGGAATGTGACCTCTCACCTTTTGCTGCAGCCCTATGGATTGGAGAGCTGGACTGGCTGGTCCCTGAGGGAGTTGCTCCATGTTGAAGGAGCAGCGATACGCAGGTCACATGGCCCCGGGCACAAGCTTCTGACAGGGCAGTTTGTCCATCCACTGTTGAACTGTTTACCTGACGTGGGTAAGTATGTGTTTGAGACAATTCACAAAACATTCTCTACAAACTTCATGTGAGCATAAGTACGTGAAGGCGTAATGATTTAAATATACAGCCAAAAACCTCTCTGTTGATTATGTTTAAGAAACAACATTTACAGCAGTTCTGCTATCAAACTTGCAGGGCGCTGTGATGGTTTGATGAGTCAGACTTTGTATCAGCAGATTTATGTTTGTTAATATGTTATTGTGCATGCACAGATGTGTCTGTGTGCTGGGTTAATCTCTTACTAACATGCAACAACAAAAAGTTAAACCCAGCAATAATTGATACGGTTTCCTTCTAGATAGACTAGAGCAGGATCTAGAGTTTCAAAGAAAGACACAAAACATTGTTGATTATATTCACAAAAAAGCGTAGTCAGACAATGATGCCTTACTAACATTTGCCCCATTTTCAATCAGAAGCTTGGCACAAGCCACGTTGCCTTGCATACATGCTCCATGGAGGGGAGAAACCTGGTCCAGAGTGCTCAGATTGACGCATGTACCCTGTGAACCATACACAGTACATATAGAGTCACTGAAATGCTGTAGACGCACATTAGGAGATTTAATAGTAAACTATCCACAACAAGATTTCAGTAGAGAAAACATGGGGTCTTTCACAAATATGATGATTTTCAGACAAAACATTCATCTAAAATAACTTTACCTGAGCAATGAGTCTTTGCAGAGAGAGGACACGTCCATTAAAGGCAGCATCATGAACTGGAGACCAGTCTGATTGAACATCTAGGTGCAGACGTTAAAACACAACTTAGTCAGTATCACACCTTCAAGTGACTTAAATATGCATTAATATGATAATGTGAAACTTTCCATGTAAAGCAGTAAATACACTTCAGCTGCAGTGCGTGCACACACTGCCAGCAGCTACTCACCACTCATCAAAGGGTTCGAGAAAAAAACAACAGTCCCACTTTGACATGTTGAGTCTCGCGGAGTCTCTATGTTTCCCGCAGACATACTTCACAGTGGCCGTTCCAAAAGCTGTTTTACGGCCTGACTGTTTTGCCTCATAGGTTTTCCTTTGTGCAGTAGAGGTTGAACTGTGTCCAACTCAGAGTCAAAACTCATCTGAAAGACGTTTGGTCCTCATCTGTTTTCAGTGTATTTGTGGCAGGTCCTGTCGCTGTGATGTCATTTCCTCTTAGACAAAGGGTATTTGCCATGCAGGAAACAGGCTGGTTGAATGTAGCGGTTGGGTCTCAACCAATGAAGGTGCAGAGGCAGCCGGAGAGGGGCCTGTTGAGCAGGTCTGTAATTTGTGTGTAATTTGAAACCGTGCATCCACACCCATCCTCCCAGGCAGGAGATGGGCGGTGTTGGGGATGAATAAAATAAAGGGAAATGACTCTACATGTGTGACGCTCTGGTACACTGTAAAGGCATTATGTAATTAATAGGCCATAATGCATTCCTACATTAAAAGATATAATATCTGTTTATATCTCTCTCCCATTGTGCCTGATTTAGAACAACACAGCGTTTCATAAACCCTTTTTTAGGTTATTCTTTAATTTTATGTCCTTGGAATACTTGTTTAAAATAAAAAGCAGTTGCTGTATTGTTAGATAAAAGCAGCTCTAAACTTTGTATGTGCCTCAGCAGTGACTTTGACATGGTTGCCACTGCAGAGATGTCACACATTTTTATTTCCAGATATTTAAAGTCCCCCCCTTTCCTCAAAAATGTGTTTTGCTTGTTGTTGTTTCACTTGCATGTTTGACCTTCACTGTGAAGAGTGTTTAAAACCCAATCACATCATCCACTGAAGGAGGAAAGTTTCTTTGTGTTCACCTTAAAATCTGAGGTTGGTTTTAAATCATTTTGTGACATCACAACTAGTTAGGAGCCAATAGTGGTCCAGTGTGCTACTTACACAGTGAAATAGGAAGCAGTGCGTCTTGTGGTTTAAGTTTTGAAACAAACTAATATTTGATTATTCATAGGCTCTGTTATTTTAGAGGAAGAACAAGGACATGTTATAATATTATTAGTAATTTATTTATCCTTTTTGTTGTTTTGTCTTAATATAAGGCATTCATTATTATTATTATATGATTCAGCAATGTCTTGATCATCAATACATCTTGGTATTACCATCACAGTGCATATTTTGATGCAGCATTGATGTTAAATGATGTTCAGCAAAGCAAGGCTTTATGACAAAATAAGTATTCTTATTTTATATTTGATCTTATATTATACATCCTCCTTTGTCATTGTTTTTTGTGTGTGTGTGTGTGTGTGGTTATGACAGTGGGGTTTTCTGGGGTAACACATTAAGATAATTTTTTTTTTTTTAATTGCATGTAGTTACAAGTGATCTATCTAATCTAATCTAATGGTTAACCAATAGAATCCACTTATTTTTCAGACTTAACAGAATGTGGATGAGTGACCTAATAATCGGACCTTCCTTTAAGTCAAAAAGCAGGGTTCAGCACCCTAAGTTAACAAGAATGTGCTCTGCTTCAGTGTCTTTGATTAAAACACTGAATCCCCTAGCAGCTCCAACAATAAGCTAACTTGACCTCTGACCTCCCTGAAGGGAACAACCTGAAAGAATAATTACCTTACAGCGTTCAGTTAAGTTCCCACGCAACATCTGTATTTTGACGATGAAATAAATCCAGCTTGACTTGGAGCTAACAGCTGTGTTATGGGATACACTCGTGTTATTATTGATTTAGGCTACACTAGATATTATGTAATAACATATAACGGTAGGAGCTATTCCCAAATGTACAGTCGTAGCAATATCTACTGTGTTTTGCGAGCTACAATCACATGATGTGCAGACCAGCAGGGGGCAGCAACAGAGAGCAGACGTTTAAACAGCAAGTCAATACCAACTGTATTCCTCAGGGAGTTGTTAATCCCTGGCAGCAGGCTACAAGCTTGCCATACAATTGACTTTGTGCCTTGTCAGAGAAGGTGTATATGGATTACAATGCCATTGTACAAACTAAATGAATGCCCTCTCTGTAGTACCGAATAATGATGCTTTGTTTCCCAAATAAATCTGCTTCAAATGTCCACTCGTTCTCTCAGATCTCTGTCCAAGCAGGCAGATCCAGCTGCTGCCACGACTCCACGTATCTAGAAGTGATGACTGTCTCGGGGGGGGTTATAGGCAAGGGTTCTGGGGTAAGATTCAGGCAACCTATGCAAGCAAAGTGCACCAAATGCCATCTTTCTTATCATGACTCTAAGGACAGGCCTGAGCCTACTTTATTCTTTCCCATTTCTGCTTGTGAACAAAGCAGGTACTATTACCTCTTTGTTGCACAGATGTGACCATTTTATGACCACCTTAACAACAACAAAAACCTTTGCATGTAGGATTAAAACTAAGTCAGTCTTTTGCATTTGTTTGAACTCATTTATTCATTTATCAGTGCATAATACACAAGTCCACAAATAGCACCAGTAGGAGATATTAGACTCATTGTTAGACTCTAAATGTAACATGCACGACTCTATACCTCAAGGGTTATCAAGAGGGTTTCCTGCTGATGTGAGTGTGACCCACATCAGCTCCAGAAGGCTCAGTATTAATGTCATGGCATCCTTGATTACACAACACACACACACACACACACACACACACACACACACACACAGTGAGGTGAATGAAATGAATGGGTGGCCTTTAATCAGCTAAGAAACTGAACTGTGTCGACAGGCTTAAGCAATGGAAGACTCAAAATCAAATATGTGACATGCTACTTTACTGCTTCTCTTATATTATGTATATATATTATATATTACGGTGTGACTATGGTTTAGACTTCCAGCAGCCAAAACCAACTGGTCTACAAACGCTTTTATTCCCTCAACTAAACTGAAAAAGTGACATATATATGATATAAACCTAAACTAAGTGAGAATCTAAATTCCAAATATTCTTTATTGATAGCATGACTCTTTAATTGTTTAAACTCATTTACTATAAATGATATATTAATGTATTGATTGATTAATGGTGTTGCTATAATAAAATATACAGTGCCTACATTACAGAGCTGTATATTCTGTATATAAGATATCTCTTTTCATTTATTTATTATTTATTTTCATCATTTATTTATTATTATTATTATCATTATTATTATTTGTGAATGTTATTGTTGTCCATCTGTGGTTGTTCTTACTGAAGGCAATGTATCTTAATGGCTTGTAATGAATCAGCAGTGTTTTCCCCTCAGGGGTGGAATAAAATATATAAATTAAATTCGCTCTGATCATTTGATTTGAGTGTATTTGACCCCAGATACTGTACAGGTCAAGCAGCCTACAGCACTCTACTGTACATTACTTAACGAATTAAAACATACAGTAGCTTTCTGAACTCACCAAACTTTAAGACTTAAATCACTTTGTGTCACACAACAGTCCTTTGTCGATTTGCCTGCATTGTGGCACAGTTAAGCCACAACTGCAGGGATTAAATGGAAGCACATGATGATTCAGCCCCGTGATTCCCTCAAAGAGTTGGGTCATGTAGGCTACCCAATCATTTCCTTTCTTTTCTTGTCTTTTTCTTCTTTTTCTCCTGACACCGTAGCCCACTTCTTTTCTTCCTCTCTCCCTCTCTCTCCCTCTCTCCCTCTCTCTCTCTTTCCTTCTGTCTCCTCCAGTCCGTCATGGCATCCCCCCGGTTGGAGACTTTCTGCTGCCCGAACCGGGATCCAGCGACAGAGTTCGTGGTCACCTTCCAGCCTGTCCTGTTCGGGGCTCTGAGTCTGGGAAGCGCGGCCCTCAGTCTGCTGTTTGCTATTTTACAAATTCTGCCAAAACGCAAGGGATACAGAAGACTGGGGCAGTATCCGCTGCCAAGGCCCGCGTCCTCCTCTCGGATCCTCTTCATCATCAGCATATGTGACATAATGGGATGCGCAGGTAAAAAAAAACAGAGTGGTGTTGGCCTATGTTTTATTACAGCTGAGAAACAAAAGTGAGAAAAGGGCGAGTAGTTCTTTGACAATGTAGTAATGCTTGCTGGATCTAATTATGGATTTAGTTTTTAACCCTTATGTTGCACTACATTTACTACATCTGCTTTATTTAAACAGAGAGAAAACATTAAGCAGCCTTTGTACAGCTCTGAAAACTGCCATTTATCTGCCAAAAAAAGAAAGAAAGATTAAGTTTTGTGTGTAAATCGAGCCTACATGAGCTTTTGTAGAGTTTTGAGTCACTCATTCAGTCAGATTTTTCTTTTTCAATCAAAAACTTGATTACCACCTCTGATCAAGTTTGAACAAAGCAGATGTATTTAAGATGTCCTGAAGTAGCTTATTACAAAACAAAATAATGAATCATGGTCCTCTCATGTGAGTAAAAACATGACTCGTGACTGCTTTTCTCCCTGTTGTTGGCTTATATTGAACTGAATGCTGCATTGTTCTTAAAGCAACCAATACATAGATATTTAATAGCACACAAAAGGCTGTAGATTATTTTTCACACTGTTCTGGCACTTGAAGCTGTTCATTCTGCTCTTGGTGAAGGAAGGTGAGGTCATGTGTTTCTGTGTACTTAGTGGCCAGTGAGCTTCATCCAACCACTGCAAACTGAACCGCTTGAAGCACAGTTTCAAATAAAATACACTACAGCATCTCGTCTGCATCACATTAAGATTGCGGGAGAGCTCCTATTTTTCCATTCCACAGTGAAGCTGTAGGAAATGGAAACACCCTCATAAACCACACCTGGAGGCAGTTCATATTTCCATGATATAAAGCTGCTATTAAACAGACTTTAAGTCTGAATCTAATTAATGAACATGCTTAATAATACCAAATAAAAAACGGAAGAAGCTCTCTTTTTTTTGTCCTCTATTTGTTCCTCATCTCCTCCTGACAAAGCATTAATTGTCTAATTCCAACAGTCACAGTTAGAGACCACATGTTGTTTTCCTCCTCCAGGTATCATTGTGAGGTCATCTGTCTGGCTGGGCCTGCCAAACATCATTGACAGCATCTCGGTGGCCAACAGCACTGATGTCTGGCCAGAGGTCTTCTGCGTCGGCAGTGCGGTACGTGCAGTCCTTTGACAAAGCCTCACCTTGTTCAACAATCAGTCATTTCCGCCGAGCCTTTATGTGAGCAGACACACAATATGTCTCTAAGTAACGGCTTTCAGCTTGACAGATGACACTAACGGGACTATAGTGGTCATTCGTGGTCCTGGAACATCCTGATTCC